CGGACCTGACTCATAGCGACCCCTCCTTGGGTTTCCAAGGCAGTATCACTACGGAAGTAGATTGCCCCATCTTCCTTCTGAGAAGTAGAGATTAAAGAAGACTTAAACAAGGAAAGATATCCCATGTTCATGGATTGGAAGACTTAATATTGCTAAGAGATCATACTACTCAAAGTGATCTATAGATTCAATGCAACCCCAGTCAAAATTCTAACAGCCTGATAAGAGGCTTCAAATAGCTAAAACAATGTTGAAAGAGTAGAACAAAGTAGGAGTATCATACTTTCAGATTTTAAAACATAGTACACAGCTACAGTAATCAAGACAGCCTGGTACTAGTATAAAAGTAGACACATAGACCAATGGAACAGTATTGAAAGTCCAGAAATAACCCCAGACATCTGTGGCCAACTGATTTTGACAAGGGTGCTAAGTAAGGTACATTCGATGGGAAAAGAAGAGTCTCTTCAATAAATGTTGCTGGGAAAACTAGATTTCTACATGTAGAAAAATGAAGCAGGTTCCATGTCACACATCATACACAAAGACAAATGCAAATGAAGTAAGGACCTACATGTGCAAATTAAATCATAAAATTCTTAGAAGAGCAAGCAGGGGAAATGCTGTCAGTCCTAGCTTTCAAGAATAAATTAATATAATAACAAGAAGAATAAACAGTCAAAGATAAAATAATTGGTGAGACCCCATAAATATTAAAAACTTTTGTTCATCAAAAGATTTTACCAAAAAAATAGAAAAAAGAACAAGCTACTAAGTAGGAGAATATCTCCATAAACTATGCATCTGACAAGAATCTAATAACCCAAATGTATATAAAAATACGATAACAACAAAACAACAAATAATGCAATTATGAAATGGGCAAAGGACTTGAATAGACATTTCATTGAAAGAGGACATTCAAACAACTACGGAAATCACAGATCAAAAGGTTCACTAAATAAACCAACAAAACACAAAAGCAAGTAATACTAAAGACAAAGAAGACTTCAGACACACAGAAAACAACAAAATGGCAGAAATAAGTGATTTCTTATCAGTAATTACCAAAAAAAGAAAACCAATTGAGTTGATTCCTACTCACAGTGACCCCCATTGGGTATCCAAGGTGATAAATCTTTATGGAGGTAGATTGCCCTGTCTTCCTTCCACAGAGTGGCTGGTGGGTTTGAACTGCTGACCTTCTGGTTAGCAGTCAAATGCCTTATGCACTGCAACACCAGAGTGCCTATCAGCAATTACAGTGAATTTAAATGGACTAAATGCTCCAATCAAAAGGCACAGAGTGGCAGAATGGATTTTAAAAAAAGAAAAAAAAA